TAGATTGTTCACTCTGATGATAGTTTCTTTTGCTTTGCAGAGCTCTTTGGTTTAATTAGGTCCCAATTGTCAATTTTTGCTTTTGTGGTAATTATTTTGTTGCAATTTAAATGTAATATTTGCTAGGGATTCAGTGAGCTTTTCTAAATTGGAGAAGTCATATTTTTTCATATCTGAAAACTCTAGTCCATTAGTTCTTGGTACTTACCTTCTCCCAATTTTTTCCTCGCTTCTGAGATACAACTTTCTGTTCTATTTTCTATGTCTCTTTACTGTTCATTCTTTTTCACCAATTCCTTATCTCACATTGATCTATTCTAAAAAAAACTTCAGATCTTCTGTTTAGTTTATTGTAGTGTCATCTACTATTTAAGTTACTAGTTAAATTTTTCAAAAAGTTTTAATGACTTTTTTATTTTTAGAATTTATCTTCAGTTTATTTTCAAATAGGCCCAATCATTTTTATCATGTCTTGTTCTTGTTTTATAAAATAAATGCATTCTTTCATCCCTTGAAAATTTTTATTTGCATATATTTAAAAGGCACAATTTGTCACATGGACATATTGCAGAGCAGTGAAGTTTAGGCTTTTAGTGTATCCATCACCAATGTACTTTACACCCATTAAGTAACTTGTCATCATCTGTCCCTCCTCCAACCCCCTCAACCTTCCAAGTCTCCATCGTCTATCATTTCACACTCTGCATCTATGTGTACACATTATTTAGCTCCCATTTATAAGTGAGAACATGCATTATTTGTGTTTCTGTGTCTAAGTTGTTTTCCTTCAGATAATGGGTTCCAGTTCCATCCATGTTGCTGTAAAATACATGATTTCATTTTTTATGGCTGAATTGTGTTCCATTGTGTTATATATGTAGACCATATTTTCTTTATCCAATCATCCACTGATGGACATTTCTTTGCTGTTGTGAATAGTACTGCATTAAACATACAAGTACAGGTATCTTTTTCATGTAATGATTCCTTTTCTTTTGGGTAGTTACACAGTAATGGGATTACTGGATCAAATGATAGTTCTATTTTAAGTCATTTGAGTAATTTCCTTATTGTTTTCCATAAAGGTTGTACTAATTTACCCATGAACAGTACATAAGAACAGTGCATTCTTTTTTTTTTCTTTTTCTTTCTTTCTTTCTTTTTTTTTTTTTTTTTTTTTGAGACAAAGTCTCACTCTGCCAGCCAGACTGGAGTGCAGTGGCATGATCTTGGCTCACTGCAATCTCCACCTCCCAGGTTCAAAGGATTCTCATGTCTCAGCCTCCTGAGTAGCTAGGATTACGGTGGCTGCTACCACGCCTAGCTAACTTTTGTATTTTTTTAGTAGAGACAGAGTTTCACCATGTTGACCAGGATGGTCTCAATCTCCTGACCTCAGGTGATCCACCCGCCTCGGCCTCCCAAAGTGCTGGGATTACAGGTGTGAGCCACCATGCCCGGCCAGAACAGTGCATTCTTTGTATAACATATTTTCTCAACCACTTATTTTCTGTGATACTTTTTTTCTGTATCTTAACAAAGTGTTATTTTATAATCCCTTAAGTTAGCTCCATTATCATGAATCTTTTGAGTGTGAATGTTCCCATTCATTGTGTCCAATGTCTGCCATGGCAGTGGGTTTCTAGTTTGATTCATAGTTTTAAGCTGTGTGAGCTCATCTTTGGTAGAGGTTGGCTTCCATGGGAACCATTTGTGAACTGTGAATTGTAGCATTTCCACATGAGAGTTTAGTTTCATCTCAGTTCTCATTGATTTCTTATTTCTGAACTGCTCTTTTCTTTTTTTTCTTTTTTTTTTTTTTTTGAGACGGAGTCTCACGCTGTTGCCCAGGCTAGAGTGCAGTGGCGCGATCTCGGCTCACTGCAAGCTCCGCCTCCCGGGTTCCCGCCATTCTCCTGCCTCAGCCTCCCGAGTAGCTGGGACTACAGGCGCCCGCCACCGCGCCCGGCTAATTTTTTGTATTTTTAGTAGAGACGGGGTTTCACTGTGGTCTCGATCTCCTGACCTTGTGATCCGCCCGCCTCGGCCTCCCAAAGTGCTGGGATTACAGGCTTGAGCCACCGCGCCCGGCCTGCTCTTTTCTTTATTTCCTTCTTTCTTCCCTTCCTCCCTCTCTCCTGCTTTTTTCTTTCCTTTTGTCCTTCCTTCCTTCCTTCCTTCCTTCCTTCCTTCCTTCCTTCCTTCCTTCCTTCCTGCCTTCCTTCCTTCCTTCCTCCCTCTTTCCTTCCTTTTCTTTCCTTTGTTCCTTCCCTCCCTCCCTTCTCTCTCTCTCTTTCTCTCTCTCCATTCCAAAAGTCAAGAATTGTCTATCTCAATTGGTTATTTTACTTTATTGCTGTTGAGCTCACTTACATATTTCTTACTTGGGAAGGATGGTTTTTGCTGTTCCTTGTATAGGTGCCCTTATCTATATTCTTCATTTTTATGAATGACATTAATAATATCCCAAATGCCAAAACTCAATACCTGATAAAATTAGTTTTCATGTTGCCTTATTCTCTATATGTCTTTAGATATATCTAGTTTATTGCTGTTTTGTTTTGTTTTATCATCCCCACTGTCTCTGCTTTAGTTCAGTCACTTATCATCTCTCTTGTGGACAACAGCAATATCCTTTTCTCACTGGTTTCTGTGCTTTCCATCTGCCCTTTTCCAACCATTGCTACATTGCTGCTAGATTTGTCTTTCTAAACACAACTCTGAGTATGTGAATTCACTACTTAAAACCTATTAATGGTGTGCTTTCCTCATATTGAAAATTAAACTTGCTTGATTTTGTGGATTTGCTGAGTCTTATTTCCTGACATCTCTTCACACCTACGTTTCTGCAATATCAGAATATTTCTAGTTTCTTGATTTGCCCAACTGCTTTAGGCCTCTATTCCTATATAATATCCTTTTCCTGTAAAACTCTTACACTTCAGTCTTGCCCTATTTATTTCTTATACCCCTAGTTTCTTCATGCTGCTATAACAAAATTTAGACTGGGTAATTTTTAATAACAGAAATTGATTTCTTATAATTTTGGAGACTGAGAAGAGCAACATCAAGGTACCAGCAAATTTGGTAGCTGCCAAAGGCCTGTTCCTCTTAGAAGGTTCCTTCTGTGTGTCCTCATGTGGTGCCGGGGCAAATAAACTCCCTCAGGCTTCTTTTATAAGGGCAGTAATCCCATTCATGAAGGTTAGGCCTAATCACCTTTCAAAACTCCCCACCTCTTGATACTATCACATTGGGGATTAGGTTTCAACATGTGAATTTGGGAAGCGGGGAAACCTTAGACTACAGCATACCCATACTTATGCTTGAAAATCAACGTAAATACTACTTCTTTTTTCTAAAGGAATTCCTGACTAGCCCAAATCTGACACATGGTACCCATTGACTCATTTTTATAATGGCTATATCCACTTAATTTTTTATATTCAAACTCCATGTATATAATTCCTATAACCATTCTTTGTATAACATATTCTCTCAACTACTTATTTTCATTGACACTTTTGTCTTTTGAAAAACTAATTTTCTTTGTTTCTTTGATTGTGACACTCATAAACACACCCTAACAGAAGGCTTTCTAATACCATCAGATTTTTTACCTGAGTCTATTCACTTTTTTTTCCAGTCTATCAATTGGCCTTACATGTTATAAATTCCTTAGTCTTGGGGTTCATTGTGGAGGCCTCTTTAGGACGAATGGAGATCAAGTTGGTTCAGTGTGTAGATGTCCCAGAATGGTATTGTTGCAAAAGGCATGAAAGAACACATAGGAATAAAGATGAAAAGAGACTTCACAAGATTTATTGAAGAACTAATGTTCTAGAAATCATGGGAAGACTCTGGTCCTAATGTTGATAGTGACCCACCAGACTCTGAGCACACAGAATAATTGCTCTGCTTCTCAATTCTCCAGTTGACAAAACACAGGGATTAGAGTAGGGAGTTAATAATGCTTCTGTAACCTGAAATTCTTTTGCTCTTATTGTTAAATTGCCCAAGTTAAATTATTTGCATGAGAGGAGGAAAAAATCTTTAAAAATAATAATTGTCATGAATTCTATAAAAATTAAATAATTTTAAAAGGATAAACCCTATTTTAGCAAGTAAATCTGTGAGTATGTGAGAGAATAATGTTAATAAAAACCATTAAGCTGACTATCAAGATATTAGAGACATGGGCAGAAAACATAAAGACTTCAAAATATATGTTATATAGTTAAACATCTGGCAGATTTATAAAGCTTTGTAAAAATCAGCCATAGAAATTGCATTTTAAAGAGTAAAAGTGAATAGTTTTAACAATGGGAAAAGGCTCTGTACTAGCACTAACATCAATTAGAAAATAAAGCATTCTGATTTTAATTAATGGATGTTTTCATGGTGTCTAATAAAAATATAATTTTAAGGACTTCAACAATTTAATCTGAGAAAATATCGTTGTATTTAAAACAAGTGTATTTTTTAAATAAGCAAACATGTTTACATTCATCAATTATAGTAAAACAAAAGCTCAAGAAATCCCAGAGCATATAATTTCATGAACCAAGAATAAAATGAGCTCTGGGCTTATGGACAAGATCTAGCCCTGAATAATCTCCAGAACTCTGTTCATTTTATGCAATAGTTTAAGTTTTATTCTGTCTTGGCCCAACTTATAAACAACAGAAATCTGAGTTGTGGGAATATAATTTATGAACAGAAAAGATTACTTGTCTGTGAATTGTGTTCTGAAGATGAAAGTAAATATACAAGAACATACGGTATTCCGTTAAAAGTTGCCAGATCATAATTATGTGGCAAGACAGTTATCAGAAATTAATCCATCTATTGAGATTGATTGAAGACACTATCCCAATGTAGGCCCTTTTGAGGAGACAGCATTAACAGAAAAAAACTCATAGCAAAGGCTTGAGGGGGGAAATGAATCCAATCCAGCCTGAAAAAATCTGCACCAGGTTTGAAAAATCACCCCATCCTCTGGTGTAAGTGATGCTAAGAAGCACAAACTGCTTTTTGAATCTAAGTCCCTGTGTTTTCTGTGAAGGAGCTGTAAGTGGGGTGGGACAGAGATGGCACCTGGGGATTCTGAGGCACCCGCTCCTCTCTGAGACAGACAGGGATCAGGAGCCGGATTGGGACCAGACCACCAGCAACACACCAGAGGATGTTCTGTAAATAAGACCATGGCACTTAAGAATATTAACTACCTTCTCATCTTCTACCTCAGTTTTTCACTGCTCATCTACATAAAAAGTAAGCATTTCCCACTTTGGGCATTTTTTCCTGGTTTATTTCTGGCTTATTGTATTTCTTACAAACAATGGATAATGTTACATGTTCTATAAAATACAATGCTAAAAAGGAAGTTTTTATTTGTTTTTTTAAGTGTCATGTGTTAAAGAAATCAGTGATACCAGTTAATGTGAACAGTCAATTTTAAGATTCTATGATTTCCAGTAGGTATTCAGGTACAGAAATTTCTTTGTAGTAGTGAGCTGGAGAATGAAATGGTCACATAGACGAGAAGATATTTTGTTGTGTTTACACTTTTACAAAATAGATTTAGCCCTTACTGATTGATATCCTTTAAAAGGAAGTTATTCATAAGCTATATTTCATTTTATTCCCATGTACTATATATTTATCTTCACTTTTAAATAACTCTGTATTGCAACATTTGCTCTCATAATCAAGGAGATAGTCTCAATGTTTCCCAGAGAGTAATGGTTCAAAGTGTTTCTTTCACCAGAGAAATGGGCTTTTACTGTTATGTGTTTCTGTTTTATAAATGAAGATATTATTTTCCACAAACTTCCCCAAATAGAAACAAGAGCAATGTTTCTGAGATAATCTTGTCAGTTCTATGGCAGGATAGAAAATCAGAGACCAAATGGCCCCAGCAGTGTGTTTATGAAGGACAGTAGCTATTGAACACGTTTAAAACGAAGACAGGGAGAGTGTGTGCTTGTCAAAGGGGCCATGTGATTTGTGTCTGTTGAATCTGAATATCAATAAGGCAAAGCATAGAGCAGCTGCCGTTGAACAAGACAACTTGGCATTAGCACACAGTGTTGTGTAATCTGGGTCACCTTCTGTGGCTGCACCAGTGAGATTGTTACTTGTACGGTTTACAGTTGAACATATATTAGAGACTGAGTGAAGAAAAAAGTAAATGCTATGGGTAGGTAGCTGATGGCAGGTACAGAAAAACCAACTCAAACTTTAAACAAATGATCAGTAAGATACGTGACTGCAACACACAGGCACAAAGGAATTTTTTCAGAGATATATTTGTTAAGGAGTTGTTATTTAAATAGTTATCTACCCTCCTTGAAACTTAATGTGAGCCCCAGGTAATGAGGAATGAGGAAGAGAAGTGCTGTGTTTAGTTGTGCAGGTAGGAAGAAAAAGGGAGAAAAATAAGACATAAGATGAATGTGAAGTGACTTTATGGTGTGTTTTATGGCAAAGAGCTTTGTCATTCAATGCAATATATATGAAAATTCCTACAGTTTGCTGCAGTTTGTTTTAAAGGAAATGAATATGTGATATCTTTAATTAAAAAGATAATGACTATGAATTGATACTTACATATACATCATTTGTTTTTGCTCTCTTTGAGTAGGTAATTTTGATAGATTCTAAATACTTTGTAATTATTTGATTTGTTCTCCAGCACAGTATTGTTACTCATTTAAAAAAGTAAATTTGAAGTCTCATTTTCTTCAGCTTTTAAGTAGGTAGACTTTTGTCTGTGTTAATATATTTGTTGGCAAGATATAATCATATTGCCTTCCCAATCAAAACATGTAATTTAGACCTTGTTAGTTGAGTTTTTCTTTCCTACCTGACTTTAAAACATTCAGCTATCTAGCATCAGCCTTCCTTTCTACTCTTATCACCTAGTATTCTTGACATAAATTCTGTGTTCCAGACAAGTGAATAACATAATATATAGTAGTAAAAATTGCTGACATTGTGTTAAGCATTTTCTATCTCCTATATGTAATTTACTTCTTGTAACAACCCTATAAGATAGATACTATTATAGTAATTCACATTTTATAGAAGATGAAACAAAGATTCAAGTCACTATACCAGTGTATCTCAAACTTTGAGGCAACTCAGACAGCTGGAATGCCTGGTTAAAATGTGTAGCCTCTCAAGTCTAGCCCCAGGTACTTAGTGTCTTTATAGTAGATCCTGGGAACCTATAATTTAATTAGCTCTTCATTTCAAATACAGGTGACCAGAAGTTCTGACCTACACAATAAATCTTTATTAGGAACCTACTACATAATGATGCTAGGAATCATCAGAATAGTTAAATATAAACTATATTTAAATATAATATAAACTTTATATTTATAATATAAAATTTATATTTAAACTTTAAATTTAAATATAAACTATATTTAAATATAAACTATATTAAAAATAACTATAGTTAAATATAAACTATAGTTAAATATAAAATCTTTCTCTTCAACGAGATTATTTAGGAGAAAAGAGAAACAATATGAGCTTTATAACTGTTGTTCACTCTTACACACATAATAACCCTGTCAAGTAGAATTTATTATTAATTCCATTTTGCAGCTGAAAAAACTGAGGCACATAGAGGTTTATTAATTTGTCCAAGGCCATACTGCTAGTGAATGGTGGATCTGGAATGTGAACCTGGAGATCTGGCTCTGGAGTAACTTACATGTAGTTACTCCCATGAAGTGATAATGCATAAGGGGTTTAAGACACTGCTTGGAACATAATAGCAAACAAAGAAATGTCCATTATCCAGGTACGGTGGCTCAAGCCTGTAATTCCAGCACTTTGAGAGGCTGAAACGAGATCACTTAAGCTTAGTTCAAGACCAGCCTAGGCAACATAACAAGACCTCATTTCTACAAAAAAAATATAAAAAATTAACGGGGCATTGTGATATGTGCCTGTAGTCACGGCTACTCAGGAGGCTGAGTCGGGAGGATCGCTTGAGACAGGGAGGTCGAGGCTACTGTGAGCGTGATCCTGCCACTGCACTCCAGCCTGGCAAAAGGGCTACATCCTGTCTCAAGAAATAAAAAGAAAGGGATAAATAAATTTCAGTTATTAATATCATATTAGTTGAAGGAATCAATGATTCTTCCTTTGAACTTTGAAATATGTTCCCTTAAATTTAAGAGACAATAATCACCTCCAGTTCCATACTGTATTTTGTATCTAAAGTTCTGCCTTGCTTAGCTACCAGGGGAATGCTGTTTTTGTTTTCATCAACCTTTATGTCCTTCCAGTTGAGGACATGTGACATGAGGAATATTAGAGCAGAGTGCAGGAAGTGACATTCACTTTCTGTTCCTGAGCAGGTAGACATTCTCCTAACTTGGAGTGGCAATGAATGTGTCCTGATTGTTTTCATACCTGTTCCATGATTTTGCAAAACTGGTTCTAATGTGTGGGACCAACTAAATTTTAATAATTCAAGAAGAGCTATTATTTTTTGCTTCTGATGTATTAAAAGAGAAACTTATTAGAGGGAGACTCTCCTGTGATCCATTATTCGGAGACTGTCTTAAATAATGAGAGTACTTTATAATAAACTCTTTTTGGGACCTCAATGTATGAATCTGTCCTGAAGAGTTTTAAAGAAACAACCATGCCATGAATTAGAAAAGTAATGTCTATGTCTCTAGTCCTTTATATTTGGGGGAAAACTGAATATTTTCAATGTAAATGCCACATCTGGATTAATTTGAAAGTAACTGTTTTTATCTACATTTAAAGTATGATCACAACATGTAAATAAAATGTGGTTGGACAAAACTACTTTAGAGTTACTAGAACAACGTTAAAGAATTTAGGGTAGCATCCAGTCTTCTAAAAACCATTAACAATTGTTAAGTAATTGATTTGAATGGAGTTATTTTAAAAAGTACTTTCTAATATACCTAAAAGAATGAAGAACAAATAGAGATTAAATAAGAACTAACTGAATTTGCTTAATAGGTCAGAGAAGGTTGATGTTAATCATTAGGAAGTAATCACATACTCTTAAAATTCTACGTGTGTAGAAACATTGAAAACTTTGATCTTCACTGTGTAAGTTAATATCCTTGCAGCAGCATTTTGTAAAGTGCCTACCTAATTATTAGTGTGAGAAAAAGGTATCCTTTTGCTTCTTCATAAGTGAAATAATCTCATCAGTTTACAATAAAATCGTCACTACTCCGTGAAGGTTACCCAGGGTTTCCTACATCACACAGCAGAATTAACTCTGGCTTCTTTTGTTAGATACTTCTCTTAGGCAAATGAGATTTTCTAGAGAATTGTATGCTTTCTTTTTCATCATTGATGATTTTCAAAAATTATAATTCGTGGTCTCACAATATCAAATACTGAAATTCAAATGGACAAAAAAAGTTAGAGTGAGTGTTTAAGCAAATTGTGGTACATCTATATAGTGGAATATTATTCAGTTATAAAAAGAAATGAACCATCAAGTCACAAAAGCACATGGAGGAACCTTAAATAAATATTGCTATGTGAAAGAAGCTCGTCCAAAAAGGCTACATATTGTATGATTCCAATTTTAGAACATCCTCTAAAAGAGAAAACTATAGAAGAATTATCAGTGGCTGCCAGAGAATCAAGACTGCAGAGAAGAAGCACAGGGGACTTTTAGAATAGTAATTATTCTGCATAATACTTTAATGGTACATTTGTCAAAATGTACAGAATTTTACAGTACAAAGAGTCTACCCAGTTGCATGCAAATTTAGAAAATCATTTAGGAAATCAAGGAAATCCCAAGAAGTAATTCAGACTTTGACACAACAATCTAACTGCATTATAAATGTATGAAATAATCTCACAGAGGGGTTGTGAAAAAAAACTGTTCACCTAAGTAGTTTATGTAAATTTCCTTAGATATTACCTGATGTGCTTTCACTGTTCTAGTATCCCATCCAAGATATCACAGTACATTTTGCTGTCTTGTATTTTGAGGTTCCTCTTGGCTGTGACAGTTCCTCAGGCCTTCCTTGTTTTTGGTGACCTTGAAGGTTTTGAGTTCTGGCCAGGTATTTTACAGATTCTCCCAATATTGAGGTTAGTTTTACGTTTTCCTCATGGTGAAACTGGAGTTATAGGCTATTAGAATGAAGACCACAAAGGCAAAGGGTTATCCTCATAACATCATATCAATAATATTATCAATGATTTATACACTCAACATGATATGTGACTGCTGATATTGACCT